TTTGTATATTAAACGGGAAAATAATTTCTAGTTTTCTCAATTTTCATTTTAATTAAATGTTGAAACTATTAAAAAATATCAATTCATTAAAAAAAGTTAGATATTTTGAACTTAGTTGATTAATTTATAAGCGTTGCATAGATACTGGTCACACACATTGTGGTCATTTGACATCTTAAATAATAAAATAATGCTTAGGCTTTGGCTTAAGGTATACTTAGGCTTAGGCTTAAGCATTATTTCAAATCTAAAAATTGATTCTGGTGAAAATTTTATAATTTGCAAGAGTTTTTATATATTGAACGGGAAAATATTTTCTAGTTTTATCAATTTTGATTTTAATTAAATGTTAAAACTATTAAAAATTATCAATTCATTAAAAAAATTAGTTATTTTGAACTCAATTGATTAATTTTATGCGTTGCATGGATAACGGTCAGTTACGGTGTGGTCAATTGACAACATAAATAAGAAAATATACTTCAATAACTAAGCTTTTTTTAATATTTGAGAAACAAAATTAATAAGATTTTTAATTTGTCGTAGATTTAATTCATTTCTGCAGCTAAAATTAATTTTTGTTTGAAATCTTAAGATAGAATTTTATGAAAGTTTAATGATTTGCAATGAATCAAAACCTTTTTTGTATATTAGACTTTTTTTCTATAATTCCTAGTAATATCAAATTTTACATTAATTAAATGTAAAACTGCTAAAATATATATTTCATTAAATTAGTTATTTTGAAGTCAATTGATTAAATTTGTGTTCATTGCACAGGTACTGGTCGCATACATAGTGGTCATTTGACCAGCAGAAATATTAAAATAAACTTTAATAATTAAGTTTTAATCAGTATTAATTAGCAAAACTATTTTAATTTTCGATTTTTGACGGTTTTAATTCATTCTCACAAATATAATTCATTTTTATTTCAAATTTAAAATTTAAATTTTATGAAAATTCATTAATTTACTAGAATTTTGCATATTAATCTACAAAATAAATTGTGGTAAATATCAAAAGCTAGTTTTAAATAAATGTTAAAATTTTGAAAAATATCAATTAATTAAAAAAAAAAATGGATATTTTGAACTTAATTGATTAATTTGTGTGCATTGCATAGGTACTGGTCGCATACATCGTGGTCATTTGACCAGCAAAAATAATAAAATCAAGTTTAGAAATTGAGTTCTGAATGATATTTTAGAAGCAAAATTAATTAAATTTTTAATTTGCCACTGTTCTAATTCACTCTTACAATTGAAATTAATTTTTATTTCAAATTTAAGCGTCAAATTTTATGAAAATTCATTAATTTATTAGAATTTTGCATATTAATCTACAAAATAAATAGTAGTAAATATCAAAAACTAGTTTTAAATAAATGTTAAAATATTGAAAAATATCAATTCATTGAAAAAAAATGGTTATTTTGAACTTATTTGATTAATTTGTATGCATTGCACAGGTGCTGGTCATCTACGGTTGCTCATTTGATCAGCATAAATAACTAAATAAACTTTAATAATTAAGTTTCAATCAATATTCGACTAGCGGGATTGATTAAATATTTAATTTATCAGGGTTTTAATTCATTCTTACAATTGAAGTTAATTTTTATTTCAAATTTAAGTGTCAAATTTTATGAAAATTCATTAATTTATTAGAATTTTGCATATTAATCTACAAAATAAATAGTAGTAAATATCAAAAACTAGTTTTAAATAAATGTTAAAATTTTGAAAAATATCAATTAATTAAAAAAAAAATGGATATTTTGAACTTAATTGATTAATTTGTGTGCATTGCATAGGTACTGGTCACATACATCGTGGGATATTTTGAACTTAATTGATTAATTTGTGTGCATTGCATAGGTAGTGGTTGCATACATTGTGGTCATTTGGCCAGTGTAATTATTAAAATAAGTTTTAATAATTTTAAATATCAATGGACTAAATGTATCTGCCTTCTCTAAAGGAGAGGGAAGATTCACTTTATTGAAAATGAAGTGCAGATTCTCAACACTGTTGATCCTTGCATTAACTTTGACCTTTACAATGAGTTTCTCTTTTATGTATGGTTGAATAAACTCAGTAAATTTCCTGCATGTTCCAATCATTCTTTCCGTTGAGTTTCACACATGATTGTACCTTGTAAATGAGCTGCTTATAGACATCTTTGATAAATTTGATGACCACCGAACCAAAAGTAAAACTAAACCATAACAGAAATCAGATATAGGTGCTGATAAGAAGTATGCATGGTGTGACGTAAAACCTATTTGCTGCAAGCATAATGAGCCAAGTTCAATCTGCTTTGAGTAGTAATCTTCTGTGTATTAGTAACCTTGTCTTTCTTCTGTTTTTCAATTATTCTATCTATATTGTCGCTGAAAAATTTGCCTAACTTAGGAAATATTTCTTTTGCTGCGATTTTATAGAAACTACTGCACGAATGAGTTTGACTAAGTCAGCAAAAAAAAAAAAAAAAAAAAAAAGTTCTTTTAGTTTTTCTAAGCTACTGGGTTCAGATTGAGATAGCCTCCGTAAATTTTGGCACTCAATTTTAACTTTGGACAAAGGATTTTACGGTCAATGGAAATAGCACTGTTGCTTTTATGCATCCTCTCTATTAACTTTAGCTGTCAACTATCACCTTTCTTTTTGTTACTAGGAGTACGTGTTTATGCTAATGATTCTTTTATTATATTGTGGGAGATAGTCTCATGTCTAATTTTCTTCTAGAAGACCCATTTGTTCAACTTTATCTTCTACGTTTAGTTGACTCTGATCTAGTACTTATAGCGTATTCTCAGTATTCTTCAATCTATGTAATACTTTTTATAGAAACTTGTAAAATTTCGTATTTGTTCATTTTTTTTTTAGAAAATATCTGTTTAATATCGTAACAGATTAATAATAACGTTAAAAGTATATTTACTTAAAGCACAATAAAAAATTGTGCCTTTACCGGATTTTTCTACTGAAAATCTAGCATTTTATTAGAAAATTAAATTGTAAGACTGTAGAAAAGGTATTCAGTGTTTATTTTTCTTGACTGTAATGCAATATAGAGAGATTATTAAGTACTAAAATTAAAGTTACGCACTATTTTAAAATTTATGGAGGTTTCGTAATGCACTGCTTAGACCTGGTTGTTTTGATCCACACATTACTATTTGTTTGCCCGATATAAAGAAGATATTTAATACATATATAAAGAAGATATCAATAGCACCAGTGAAGACAGTTGCGAGAGGGACACCTGGTTTTGGGGGGGGGGGGAGAAGGGGAGGGGGTAGTGACCTAGTAAATTTAGTGAATGAAAGAGCAGAATTAAGAAGACTGTTACTATGGGTAGCTTTGAATATGCACGTAATGATGGGCTGGAAAGACGGTCTCTAGTGACGACTCTGAGAGGATCCGAATACCAAAAGCTATTGTGCAACAGTCGAACTCAGAGTCTTCAAATGGCAAACTTTCTGCGTTTGCACACACCCAATTAAAATTAAGCTGATTTGAGTTTATGGCTTTATTACGTCCTCTACTTAGCATGTTTTGATTTATATCACATACTGTAACCTGAACACTCGGCTCTCTTCTTACTATTCTTATTGCTATGTCTCCCAATTTTGACGACTTGGTGTCTTTGCCAGGAGTTGGGAGAAAGAGTGCTAATGTATTTTTAAATTCAGGACTTGGCATTCCAACATTGGCAGTTGATACTCATGTTTTTAGAGTGAGCAATAAAATTGGCCTTGTGAAAGAAAAAGACGTGTTCAAAACAGAGAAATCTCTTTTAAATGTAGTTCCAAAAAAATACCTACTCTATGCTCATCACTGGCTAGTTTTACATGGTAGATATGTTTGCAAAGCACAAAAACCCTCGTGTAAAACATGCATCCTGTTGATAATTCAAGCCAGCCAATAGCATACTCCCCATTTTGTTTAACTATGGACGCAAGATAATTGCTGTTTTTATCCTCTAATAGCGAATCTTCAACAATTGTTCCTGGAGTTACAATTTGCACTACATCACGTTTTACTATAGATTTATAGCCCCTGTTTTTTGCTTCATCAGCAGTTTCTAACTGATCGCAGATTGCTACTTTGAATCCTAAATCTATTAACTTATGAAGGTAAGATTCACTACTATGCGCTGGAACTCCACACATTGGTACCTCTTGCCCATACAAATTACCTCTCTTAGTTAGTACTATATTCAGCAACTTCGCAGCTTTAATAGCATCATCAAAAAACAACTCATAAAAATCTCCCAGCCTATAAAATAACAGATGATCCTGATATTGAGCTTTTAGGTTCAAATATTGCTCCATCAAAGGAGTATTTTTTTCTCTTACGAAGTTCATAACATTTTTAAATACGTTGCGTTAGCAATAGCTTCAACTTTATTATATGGATAACATAGAATTTACATAGGAATACTTTATACTATGCAAAGGCAATACTACTATTTTTTTAGAAAATTGTGCATATGCAATAGATCTGTGGTAGCCTCTTCTATAAGCCATAACTTATAACTAAAATTATATAGAATTTTGGCTTTTTGAAAAGCCCAAACTGCCATTTGCGGAAGGTATACATGTAATCTTTTTGCCAAATTGAATCACAGCGTAGAAATAGCAACCAGAGAAAAAAAACAGAAACCCTTGCCTATTTCTATCTTTGGGCAAAATTCCCTATTTTATTGTGAAATGGTGTACCTTTGAATTGTATAGCAAACTGAAAATACTTTTTTAATATTTTTATCAACAAATTAAGTAATTTACATATTATTCGCTAGTAGACAAAATTGTTCAACAGTTAAGTTTTTTGGACGCTCCCCTATTAACTCTGGCGATTTTAAATCACCGAAGTTACATGCTATATCGTAGTCATAGCCAATCTTCATCTCACTTCCCTCTCCAGCGACAACAGAGACCTGATTAGCAAAGGTTGATTTACTAAATGAGCCGATAAAACCAGAAACAGTAGAAGGAATTCAATATTTGCAATGAAAGACACCCAGTTGTTGAAGTTAACGATAAGTTCATTGCAAATAGCATCAATTTGTCTGGTATACATCTAATTACTGGCCCTAATATGGCTGAAAAAAGCACTTTCTTGAGGCAAAACGCTCTCATTGCAATTTTAGCTCATATGGATTCATTTGTGCCAGCAGATAGTGCACATATTGGAGTGAATGATAAGATATTCAGCAGGGTTGGCGCAACGGATAATATAACGGCTGGTTATTCCACCTTCATGGTGGAGATGATTGAAACAGCAACCATAGTCAACCAAGCAACAGACCGTTCCTTGGTAATACTTGATGAAATTGGTAGAGGAACAGGAGTGTATAATGGCTTATCTATTGCTCAGGCGGTAATTGAACATATTCACAATGTAAATAAGTGCCGCGCTATCTCTGCAACTCATTATACTAAAGTAAGCAAATACTTGAAAAGTGTCAAGTGTTTCTGTGTGAGAATAAAAGAATGGAAAGAGGAGGTGATCTTTCTACATGAAGTAGTTGAGGGCGTTGCAGATGAGTCATATGGAACACATGTGGCAAAACTTGCTGGTTTTCGATGCTAGTACACATAGGGAAGCATTATTGCTGCTTAAGGAAAGCTCCAATGATTTGATATATAAACACAAAGTTATGAAACAAGCATACTCTTCTTCAGCGGACAATCGTAGTTTTAGTCAGAGCAAATTGAACATTGAAAATTATTTACTAAAAAAAAAAAAAAAAATAAAATTGATGTGGAAAACGAATGAATTACTTTGCGAAGTGTAAAGTAAGTTTAATTGAAAAGATAAATAAAATAATCTCTAATATGGTAATAACTATAGCCAGTGCAGTAGCAGAGGTTGAACGAATGTCTATTTTGTTGAGCCAAGTAAAGCATGAAACTCTACTAACAATGCAAGTTCTAAACGAGCATAAGCCCCATTCTAATGCACCTTTACACCACTCATGGATAAAACCTACAGTAAGTATTGCAAGAAATATCATCATAGACCAAAATCCACAATAGCTTATTTTAGGTAAAGAAATAGCGCAAGGAAAAAGAAAAGCAATTTCTAAGTCAAATATCATAAATAATATTGAAACTAAATAAAACTTAATGTCAAAATTTTTTCTTGCTCTTGATAAAGGGTTAAAACCGCACTCATATGTAGAAAGTTTTTCACTATCTGGTTTGCTTATTGCAAGAAACATAGGCAATACACCCAAAGCAAGAGATAGTATAATTGACACGCAGATAAAAATTGCTATAGCTAAATATTCACTCATTTAATAAAACTCGTAGAAAGCAAAACTACAAATTTACATGCTTTCCTAATCTTTTATCACCTAAAATATCCATATGAAAGTGCGGCACAACTTGTTCCCCGTTTCACCGCAGTTAGTAACTAATCTATATCCTGTTTTTTTCTAGGTCATATTTATAAGTTATCTCTCTTACAGTTTTAAAGAAGCCTACTATTTCCTCCGCAGAAGCTTTAAAAATAAAATCATCATATGAAATATATTGACTTTTCGTTACAACTAAAATGTGAAATGGTGCATCAGGATACTTATCGTAAAATGCCAAGACATCCTCATCCTCATAAACCTTCTTGCAACTCACCCCTTAATATTTGAGCAAAGATGTTATTGCTATCATAGTATTTATTGCACATGCTTTAGAGGCACGACCACCTTTTTCTCTTCCTGGGTTCAGAACAGGTGTAGATGAAGGGCTCGCCATTTTACTGTTAGAGACATCTTCTTCAAAGCGTAGCCTTCTGCCCTTTATGTCCCCTACCAGATGTTTTACCTTTACCACAACCAATACCTCTAACTATTAATTTAGGCTTTTTTTTCTTCGATAATTCAGTAAATATAGAGTTTAACTTTATAACATTATTCATACTTTACCTGTTTCCGACTACCTCGCCAATCTTTTTACTCCTTTTGCTCGCTACTTGACGAGGAGATAACATATTATCAAAGACCTGTACATATAATACTGCACATATAACGTTATGAGGATTATTCGATCTAGTAGATTTAGATACTACATCTTTTATGCCCAACACCTCAAAAACCGACCAATCGATCCCCCAGCAATAATGCCTGTTCCAGCTCTAGCTGCTCTTAAAACTATTTCACCAGAGCAAAATTTAGCCTTAATATCATGGTGCAAAGTTCTACCTTCACGTAAATACACTCTAATCACCGATTTTTTTGCAGCATTTACAGCTTTTATCCTCCTATAGGAGGAATTAATGCAAAGCATTACTTATAAATTCTTTTACAGTTTCATAATTATTAGTTTCGCAGCGGTTGTAACATAATTCACTATTTTCTTTTGGTATTTTTATGTTAACTGTAAAATTCTTTTCTTGAGAAAGGCAGCTAACAAGCAGTTGTTGTCAGTAAATCTTCAGCTACAAATATTTAAGAAATCCACCAAGTAAGAAAAAGACAAAAGAAGCCCTAGTTAATATCTATTTAAAAACACTAGCGTTTTTTTATGTTTTAAATACTTAATAATCGCGACTTAGTTGTTTTTTATTGCAACTAACCTTTAGTCATAAATGTTTTAGAAATTTACTAGGCAAAAAAAAGCAAAAGATACATTGTGGTAGATAGTATTTATTCTCTAATCCTGCAAATTAGCATATTATACTCCTAAACGCTTTATAAGCGAGTTTCAACTTATATAGGTAAAAAATTAGAAATATTGTGAAGACATAAGGTAATATAGTGCAAAAAATTAAACATAAGATGCTAACTATATAACACTTTATTATTTTAATCTGCACAGATTGAAGGTAACTTAATACCTCCAGTATCAGGATAAGGGGGCTAGCGAGGTTTGTTTTTTAATTGCATATTTTTTCTTAAGTAGTTAAATGGCCATTTTACAATGAATTTTGTCAGTAACCACACTAAGTTTCTTGGTTGCTATGCAATAAAGTTCAGCAGCTATATATAACTTGAATTTATTTATGGTGTGCATTATGAGGTTGTCTTTCTTAGATTCAAAAATTACTGTCTACTTTACTCCATGAGAAGATTATGCTCAGCAAGTAATTAATACAATAGATCAATCTGAGAAATCCATTTTGGTTCAATAATACAAATTTACTCTTGAGAAAGTGGCTAATTCTCTAGTTGAAGCAAAAAAACGTAGCGTTGATATTAAAATTATTCTAGATAAATCATAGCACATTCAAAACATAGTGTTATGCACAAGTTATTTGAAGAAGGAATACCAATTTGGATTGATTACAATCCAGAAATCGCTCATAATAGAATATTAATTATGATGACCACAAGGTTATTACAGGGTCGTCCAATCTCAGTGATACAGCTGAAGAAAGAAATGCTGAAAAATTACTAACTATTGCGAGTGGGCGGTGCTGGTGGGAAAGCTGTGAACAACATGATCCAGTCTAATTTGCAAGGAGTGAATTTTGTTGTAGCAAATACCGATGCTGAAGCACTAGAAAAATCATTATGTGATAAGAAAATTCAGTTAGGTATTAATTTAACTAAGGGTCTTGATGCTGGTGCTTTGCCTGATGTTGGCAAGGGTGCAGCAGAAGAGTCAATGATGAGATAGATTATGGAGCATATAAAAGATAGCCATATGCTTTTCATCACGGTAGGGAGAGTGGTGGCACTGGAACAGGCGCAGCGCCAGTAATCGAAAAAGCAACAAGAGAGGCAAGAGCTGGAGTTAAGGATAAAGCGTCAAAAGAAAAAAAGATATTGACTGTTGGAGTTGTAACCAAACCATATTCCCTTTAAGTTCACTTAAAATTCTTTCTAGCGCCAAAAGATCGACAATACCCCCCTGATTGACGGGTATTATATGTGGATTGCACGCAGAATTAAGAATTGAGGGATGTTCTACAGCTGAAATCACATGTTGAAAGCCTGCTATCCCTTTCATAACAAGACTATTTGCTTCAGTTGCACCAGACGTAAAAACTATTTCCTTATTACTTGGAACGCCAATAGCACTACGAATGTTATCCCTTGCATCCTGAAGAATCCTTCTTGCTTCTTGTCCCTTTCTATGTAACGATGAAGGATTCAAAACCTGTTTTGATAGGACTTCAAGTATACTCTATTTTACACTGTCACTAACTGGAAAAGTTGCATTATAGTCAGCGTATATATAATCACTATTTTCTAAAGAAAATAAATTCAAATGTTCATTTGCCACTTAATTAGCCTACTATTAACTATATATTAGCTTTAACACGGTAAAAAGCTTGTTGCAAAAACAGTAAAATTAATACATAATTAATATATGCACAATTTATATATCTGTTAACAGGTTTTCATTAGGAGCTGCCGTGGTAGAAGTTTTTTTAAATAATGCAACAAAAAAAAAAAAAAAATAGAAGGTGAGTACCACCAGAGCAAAGAGACCAACGCACTAGTTGTGTTAATTTTACATCATCACCCTCAATATGGTGACAGTATGGATAGTAAAATGATACATAGTATATACACATCTTTTGTAGATAACAATTTTTCTGCATTGAAAATTAACTTCCGTGGTGTTGGAAAATCCACTGGAACTTTCGATAAGGGTATAGGGGAGTTAACTGACGCCGCAATAGCCATTGATTGGCTTCAAGAACACAACCCTAGTAATGTTCCAATTTGGATCGTTGGTTTTTCCTTTGGAGCATGGGTAGCTATGCAACTGATAATGCGCAGACCTGAGATAGTAGGCTTTATTGCTTTTTTCCTTCCAGCAACAAAGTATGATTTCTCTTTTCTCTCCCCCTGTCCGGTTCCTGGGCTTATCATACAAAGCAGTAATGACACAATTTCAGAAGAAAGTGATGTAACAGAATTAGCAAACTCGTTTACCTCAAAATTGACATCCAAATCAGCTGGCAACTTCTTCACTATATCGTGTAAAGTATGTGCTGAAACTTTTACTTCTCCTTCTGTTGACACATCTGCAGCAAGTGAAGCAAATATTGAAATATCAAGATCAGTAGCCATTAATTTTATGCTGCCATGTTGTGCTTTAATATTTATACACGCCAAGATATCTATTGCATTACGCCTTTCGACCACTCCACTTACTCTGGACAGCGTACTTAAAAGACTTGTACGGCCTATGCTAAAACGCATTTGCTTACATACAGAACTTTGTTTTTTGATTTCTACATCTATACCCCCAACCTGTGACATTATCTATTCTTAAAAAATATTTCAAATGATATCCACATTCTACGTAAAGTGAAGTGCTTATTTATATTTTTACCGGAAGAGTGGTTTTTATACTATGGTTTAGCCTGAGATTACAACAGTTCACTTTACATAGCTGAAGCTCGAGCTTAGCATCTGGGTTGTGAAAGTAAAGCCTGGCTACGCACGTAATTTTCTTTTTCCACAAAGGAAAGCAGTGTAAGCAACCAAGGAAAGCATAGCAAAACTGGAGGAGCAGCGTTCCTTTCTAGAAGAGGAAAATATAAGAAAATTGAATTTGGCAAGTGAGCTAGCAGCTTCTCTTGCTGGTAAGTTTGTAATATTGGTAAAGCAAGCTTCTGAGGATAGTAGCTTTCACGCAAGAATAACACTACAAGATAAGGATACGGCTATAAACTAAGCGAACTTTTAAATAGTAAATTCTATAAAGATAACAAAATCACTGATTTTTCAATATTAGATAATGATGACAGAAAAATTACAAATGTTTATGTTATTGAGAGTGGTGATGGTAAAAAAGTTAGAGTCAGATGTTATGACTTAGCTAATTCTTCTCTATGTGAATGTGAATTGCAGTTTAAATGGTACATCAATGGAAAAAAATGCAACATTGCATAGAGTTCTGAATTCTTTTCGCATGTCCAGGATAAGATTTTTTTACCGACACTACTGCTATTCTATAGGAACAACCCTCTGGCCTTATAGCTAAAACAAAAACAAAATGCAATACCTCAAAAACAACTTTTTTAATATCTCCAATATGCACGTTAACTAAAATTTAGCATAGAGGTTTTTCATTTTTCACCCATGTTATAACCCCAATATTCATTCCATGGAAGTAAAATTTTTCTATGATTAGACAATAAAATATTTTATTATTTACTAGAATAGTAATAATAGTTACTGACACCAATATCAATTTATAGTATAAGTAATATTGTTTAGTTCTAAATGTATGGATTTTAGTTTCTCTCACAATTGATTTAGTACTGCAGGCAGTACAAATTCAAAAAATAACGATCGGATCACAGAATCTATAATAGAAGATGATGATGAGTTTGAGATTATTGATGAGTTTATAAGTCTTCGTGATTCAAATAAAACATATTCTTTATCTTCTTCTTACCAAATAGATGAAAGTATTGTAGGAACAGATGGGTAGAGTATGCCATAAAAGAGAAAAGAGATGTAACTGTTGCCATCATGGGTGGAAGGGTAGCAGAAGAGATAAGCGATGCATCTTCGAATATAAAACAAACGTCTGACTTATCACGTGCCATGGTGACAAAATGAGGCATGAGTGACGAAGTAGGACCAGTATGTCACAGAATGTACATAGTTGTGACATAGTTTCTGAGGACACTCTGAAACTTAGAGATGAAGAAGTAAGTCTTGGTGTTATGAAAAGACAAGATATATTTGTTAACTAAACGCTACAAAGATCTGATTGATGAGAGTGAAATGAAAGATATATTAATAACGAAAGCAAAGAGAAAGAAAATCCTCCTTCTCTCTCTCTCTCTCCCTCTCCCATATAGGTTATATTGAACAATTTTCAGTTAATCAATGTTAAACTAATAGCAATTCTCAAAAGTAGTAGGAAAGCAAATTGATTTGTTGCCTATAGCACTTATAAGTTCTTGAGTAAGCTTAAAAGTTCTTTATTTGTCTAGCTTTTAGCTGATAATAGAATTAGCATAATTTATTTAATAGTGAAATGAATATAATTAATAAAAAACATTGTTAATAGCAACTCTTACTTTGTTGTTGTCACGACAGTCTGACGCAAGTGAAACAAAAGGATTTTACCTGAGTGGCAGGTATTATAGTCGATTTTTTTGCCAGCATGGGTAAGTTAAAACTAAAATCTGAAGATGCTAATTATAGAATTGCAACAGATTTTTGGAATGATGGTAGAGGTATACCAGAAGAATTGTATCACCTGGATAAACATAGCTGAGCTATAGTCCACCTTTTGCTGCAAGTATGGCATTTGGCAACCACAAAATTGAATTAGAGGCACTTAAATAAAATTAAAATTGATAATTTACGACCAATTTCCTTGTTAAATGTACGAAAACTATTACAAATTTTAAAATTTTTAAAAAATTCAAAATTTAAATTTGAAATAAAATTTAATTTTAATTCTTAAATTGAAAGTTTTATTAATTTTGCTGATGATTTTTTGCGCAAAACTTAATTACAAAAACGTATTTTAATATTTAAACTATAAAATGACCACACCATATATGAACCGCCCTGGTGCAATGCATATAACATAATCAATTAAGTTCAAAATATTGCTATTTTTAGTAGTTTTGGCACTTAATTAAAATAAAAATTGATAATTTAGAACCAATTTCCTTTTTTAATGTATGAAAACTATCACAAATTTTAAAATTTTTAAAAAATTCAAAATTTAAATTTGAAATAAAATTTAATTTTAATTCATAAATTGAATTAAAACCATTACTAATTGAAAGTTTTATTAATTTTGCTGATGAATTTTCGCGCAAAATTTTTGCGCATTACAAAATTTTTTCATTACAAAATTTCAATTCTTAATTTGAATTTAATTAATTTCACTTCTCTAATATTAAAAAAAAACTTAGTTATTAAAGTTTATTTTCTTATAATTGATTAATTTGTGTGCATTGCATAGGTGCTGGTCGCATACATCGTGGTCATTTGATCAGCAGAAATATTAAAATAAGCTTTAATAATTAAGTTTTAATCGATATTTGATTAGCAAAACTAATTAAATTTTTAATTTTTGACGGTTTTAATTCATTCTCACAATTATAATTAGTTTTTATTTCAAATTTAAAATTTAAATTTTATGAAAATTCATCAATTTATTAGAATTTTGCATATTAATCTACATAATAAATTCTAGCAATATCAAAAATTCATTTTAATTAATTTTTAATATATATATATATATATATGTCAAATCATTTAAAAAAGTAGATATTTTGAACTTAATTGACTAATTTTTATGCATTGGATGGGTACTGGTCACGTACATTGTGGTCATTTGACCAGCATAAATATTAAAATAAACCTTAATAATTAAGTTTTAACCAATATTTGATTAGTAAAACTGATTAAATTTTTAATTTGTCACGTTTTCAATTCATTCTAACAATTAAAAATAATTTTTATTTCAAATATAAATATCAAATTTTAAGAAAATCGTATAATTTTTAAAAGTGTTTGTATATTAAACTGTGAAATAAATCCCGGGTTGATCAAAATTTATTTTAATTAGATATTAAAATGTTAAAAAATATTAGATCGTTAAAAAAAAAAAGATATTTTGAACTTAATTGATTAATTTTTATCCATTGCATGGTACTGGTCATATACATTGTGGTCATTTGGTCAGCACAAATAATTAAATAAACTTTAATAATTGAGTTCTGAATGATATTTCAGTAGCAAAATTAAATAAATTTTAATTCATTCTTACAATTATAATTTGCGACAACTGCTTACTCCTTATAGGTATTGCGATTTTTAATGTTCACGCTGAGAATAGAAATGATGAGCGGAGGGAAGAAATCGTAAGTTCTCTTAGGCAGTGAGCTTTCTGCTGTGGTAGTAAATTCTATTTCTCTTGTCAGTTGGCTACCATCCGTTTCCCGAAAGAGACAAAAAAAAGAAAAAATTTTTTAGAAGAAAAAAGGCCTTTGTGGACCAGTTTTGATAAAATTCTTTATCTCTACAAATCGTTCACATGAGATTTACAACATAACTGAAAACATCAGAATGGAAAAAGAAACAAAAGCAGCTTTTTCAAAGTTAATCATTCAGACAAGCAAGAGATGTCTTGTCGAGCCAAAACAACAAAAAGTGAGGAGAAGCCTAAAATAAGCTCCAACAAAGCTGGATTCATCGATTTAGCACATCATATCCTATCTTTCGACAGATCCATGTCTTGAGTCCTAAAAATTTTGAAGTGAACTTGTCTAAATTACAGGAAGCAAAGAGCAAACATATCCAACAGCGTAAAGCGTTAGGTCGCAAAAGTAATATATGTGATGAAACGATCCGGAAAATTTGCACAAAGCTTGGAACATCCGAGAATAAAAGAAAGAAACGAAATTTAAAGTCTACGATGCTCTGAATGATGGATGTATTCGTGGAAATTTTTTCGTTGAACAGGTATCGGGAGATTGGCACTTACGAGATTAATTTTTGAATAGAAATAAAAAAATAAATTGAAAATCTCATTCTGATTACAAATCCTTCAGAACGCTTCATTCTTTTCACCGCTATCAATGTGATTAACATGTTTTTTTCTTTCAATAAGTATTTTTTTCAAATAAGAGCAATCAAATAAGTATTACCTGCTCAGAACTTTATCTAATTAATTCCTTCAATTAATTTTCATAATGCGACAGAAAGATATGGGAAATCTAAGCTGTGAAATATTTATTTCTTTGGGAATTATTTTCTTGCCAAATCATCTTCTTGACCTGCCAACTCGGTAACTGACCAGTCATCCCACAATCATCAAGCGAATCATCCCACAATTCATAATGCTTAATAATGCGTACTATATGATGTTAAATTTAAGCTAAAATTAGTAAATATGCAAATTTCAGCATCAGTTCGTCTTGGCATGGGCGACTTCATTTTCTATAGTTTGCTGGTAGATAAAGCCTCCGCGACACGTAGTACAATGTGCGTTGCTGACTCAATGGCTGGCTGGCTGGCTGGCATACTCACCCTGGCAGTACTGTCTAGCTACGATGAACCCACTACAGCACTGTCTGTTCCGATCGATTACCATCGCTGTACTGCTACATTCCGGCATTTATCTGTTCGTCGAACCATTCCATAATCGCATAGTGATGAGCACAAAATTATTTACCTCTAGACAAAACAGAACTATCTCCACCATATGACTTCTCCAGTTGCAGGCAAGTTCATCAGTTCATAAATTTGATACATGCCAAAGATCATAAGGGATCATCTTAGTGACAGCATATTTTGCATTAAAAAACAATACAATGGAATCAACGCTACATTATGAAAGAAATAACGAATAAATAAAAGAAAGTGAGAATGCAATCAACAATGCCAAATTTAAGAATAAACTTTAAAATACGAAGATGAAACGAAGGAGTCAAAAAGTAAGCAATATAAACTAATTAAAAATGCAATACATTCTAGGTATAAATAAATGAAGCGACAAATACTATTATTATTATTATTATTATTAAAAATCCAACACTTTAAAAGTCAAAGAGTAAAACAGTTGAATTAAATCCTTGCTGAACACCCCGATGCTGAATTCATCAAAGTTGAAGTGATACAGCCAAACATTACGCCTAAATAATTAAGTTGCAATTCAAAGCAACATAACAGCCAAAAAAATCCACTATTACTAGAAAGTTCAATCTGTATTAATATTAGATTTAAAACTGAATGTTTCGTAAAATGTGAACCGAGGAAAGTTAGGCAATGAATCATTAAATTTCATCTTATAAATGTTTCGTATAATATCAATTGATTCAGATAATGAAACTTAACTATTACATACTTCTCTCAAAACTTTACTTCGCCGAAATAACTATTACAAGTACCGATTATCCTCCAACTTGAAATTACTATTTTACATGTTTTTTGAAAAAAGCTTTCAGAAAAAAAATCCGAAAAGATTATGCTTCAAAGTGCTAAGGAAAACAAAGAACAAATAATTTAACCTATTGTGAAAAGTTTTCTAGAAAATTCCAAGAGAAGGAATATCGATTGCCAAAAACCAATCGATTGGTAACCATAACTGCATGAGATCCAAGCAAAAAAAAAAAAATAAATAAATAAATAAAAACAAAAAGACACAAAAAAGAAACAAAAGAATGATTGATGATGATGATTTCGATAAGAATGAGACGTTGGTCATGGTCGTTTAATAGAAATACATGTAGAAATAACATTAACATAGTTCACAGTAATATTTTTGTTTCCGAAACTGTACTTTCCTTTGTGTTATTCAGGTAAATGAGATTAAAGCTTGTCTTTATTTTAGTTCGAAGAAGTTTCGGTAGAATTTATACTTTCTAACTTAACTGCTCACGTCCGCTTACGCCGTCAACTCTGCTTTCCGATCAGTCTAATCATAGAGAGGATAGCAGTTTTCATAAAATTTAAAAGAAGGAAATTCGCAAATGGTACATGAACCGTGAAACGTTATGGACGTAGCTAACAAATCATATTTGAAATTTTGAACTAGATATGAAGGGATTTTAACCACGGTAATTGCTATTCCTGCAATAGCTGCAACTGTTTTCAAAGTCCGACAGTCAGGGTTAGAGGCATGATAATGCTAGCAACAGAACTAAATCTGCTAACAATTTCGTCTTATCAGTGCCACTTACTCTGTCTGCAAGTACTGCACATGAGAGTGAAAAATCTATATCTAGTAAAAATACCGTAATGACAGCTCAGTCTTAAACATTTTTTACTTCTGATAAAATAAAAAACCAACCATACTTTTGGATCCTCCCCGACTTCTTTTAATATAACAGTATGACACTCTCTGCACGTCCATAATGTGTTGACTATATCATCTAAACCTTTTAAGTCTATTCTCGCCACCACAGCATTAATCCCTTGTTTGACCAAGGGAAAATCTAGTACTTGGATCTGTGTGCTTGATTAGTATGTACTCGCGTTCAGTCAACATGAAAACATTTTGGTAGACACTAGTAGCTTTTAGATTTGACAAAAAAATCTGTGTTGATGTTTGCTGTACATTTATATTACTAATAGTACTTTTGCTTGCATCTTCAACGCTCTGAATAGCAAAAACCACAAAGGCATTTAATTTTCTCATCACTTTCAACTAGTCCTTTATCTTAGATGCAAAAAGAGGATTATATATTAATGTCCATACCTCATTAAGGACGATAATAGATGGAGTGCCATCAAGAGATATACTAATCCTGTGAAATAATAAGTCAAGACCAACCCCAGAGCAACGGGATCTTTCAGTAAGCTAGCCATTTCAAAGCCAAATGCTCTTGCTTTTGAAAAATCTATCAAATCTTTATTGTTATCAAATACTGCAGCATGAGAGCTATTACCATGCCACATAGATATCACTCCAGCTAGAGTATCAGAACCTGCAAGTCCTAAAAATGGTACTAGGTTTCTGAAGGATCTATCTTCCTTTCATAATTTAAAATTTCCTTCAATTATTTATCATTATTTAACTATTATATGGTTAAATTTCTATTTTGTGTACTGTTATTGCCGCTAATAATAAATACTAATAATAAATATATTAAAGCATAATGAAAATTTATCTAAAAATCCTTGAGTATTTTCAGAACTTAGCTAAAATTTTTTTGACACCTCCTGATTATTTCTGTTGTCAGGAGGTGTCAAAATTGCGCCTCGAAAAGTTGTAGTCTCAAACTGTGGATGGTAATCTATGGCAAAACAGCCAAGAGGGACAAGAATTTTAAAAGAATATTCTAAAATTAAGAATGATATAGAGTCATTTTCAAAGCTAGAAAGTGATTATAACGATGCTATCAGTTTAATGAAATCCACTATTGATGAAAACGATGAAGAGTTTTTCTCTGAAATTGAAAATGAATTACTGAAATCAGAGAAATTAGTTAAGCGTAAAGAAACAAATTTCTTATTTACTGATGGAGCAGATAATACTGAAATCCACTCAGGAGTTGGTGGAACAGAGAGCGATGATTAGACTGAAATGTTGATGTGCATTTGATAGATATTAATATCTATTCGATATTAAGCAGGGTTTCTTTTGCCTTTCTCATTTAATTAAAAATTTAACTAATTTTATCATGATGCTTGTCTCCCATTCATTCATGTAGCGTAACAATTCACCAACGACAGATTTCAATCGTTCCTCTCAAAAAAAGAAAAAAAAAATGGGTTGGCTTTTTTGTCGTAATCCACGATAATTAAAACATTATTTAAAAAGGGATGACAATGGAATATGAACAGTGGAAAGAAATATTAAGTGCAATCGATAAGGAAACAATTAAGTAAAGATAATGCAATTGCAAAAATAAAAGAGAATTTAAAAAAATGGATTTACGTACATATGGAAGGAAACTAGTTTTGATGTAAATCACTTATTTGCAGTGAAAAATGGACTATTGCACACATTTATGACTAAAGGTTAGTTGCAATAAAAAACAACTAAGTCGCGATTATTAAGTATTTAAAACATAAAAAAACGCTAGTGTTTTTAAATAGATATTAACTAGGGCTTCTTTTGTCTTTTTCTTACTTGGTGGATTTCTTAAATATTTGTAGCTGAAGATTTACTGACAACAACTGCTTGTTAGCTGCCTTTCTCAAGAAAAGAATTTTACAGTTAACATAAAAATACCAAAAGAAAATAGTGAATTATGTTACAACCGCTGCGAAACTAATAATTATGAAACTGTAAAAGAATTTATAAGTAATGCTTTGCATTAATTTCTCCTATAGGAGGATAAAAGTTGTAAATGCTGCAAAAAAATCGGTGATTAGAGTGTATTTACGTGAAGGTAGAACTTTGCACCATGATATTAAGGCTAAATTTTGCTCTGGTGAAATAGTTTTAAGAGCAGCTAGAGCTGGAACAGGCATTATTGCTGGGGGATCGATTGGGTCGGTTTTTGAGGTGTTGGGCATAAAAGATGTAGTAGCTAAATCTACTAGATCGAATAATCCTCATAACGTTATATGTGCAGTATTATATGTACAGGTCTTTGATAATATGTTATCTCCTCGTCAAGTAGCGAGCAAAAGAAGTAAAAAGATTGGCGAGGTAGTCGGAAACAGGTAAAGTATGAATAATGTTATAAAGTTAAACTCTATATTTACTGAATTATTGAAGAAAAAAAAGCCTAAATTAATAGTTAGAGGTATTGGTTGTGGTAAAGGTAAAACATCTGGTAGGGGACATAAAGGGCAGAAGGCTACGCTTTGAAGGAGATGTCTCTAACAGTAAAATGGAGAGCCCTTCATCTACACCTATTCTGAACCCAGGAAGAGAAAAAGGTGGTCGTGCCTCTAAAGCATGTGCAATAAATACTATGATAGCAATAACATCTTTGCTCAAATATTAAGGGGTGAGTTGCAAGAAGGTTTATGAGGATGAGGATGTCTTGGCATTTTACGATAAGTATCCTGATGCACCATTTCACATTTTAGTTGTAACGAAAAGTCAATATATTTCATATGATGATTTTATTTTTAAAGCTTCTGCGGAGGAAATAGTAGGCTTCTTTAAAACTGTAAGAGAGATAACTTATAAATATAACCTAGAAAAAAACAGGATATAGATTAGTTACTAACTGCGGTGAAGCGGGGAACAAGTTGTGCCGCACTTTCATATGGATATTTTAGGTGATAAAAGATTAGGAAAGCATGTAAATTTGTAGTGTTGCTTTCTACGAGTTTTATTAAATGAGTGAATATTTAGCTATAGCAATTTTTATCTGCGTGTCAATTATACTATCTCTTGCTTTGGGTGTATTGCCTATGTTTCTTGCAATAAGCAAACCAGATAGTGAAAAACTTTCTACATATGAGTGCGGTTTTAACCCTTTATCAAGAGCAAGAAAAAATTTTGACATTAAGTTTTATTTAGTTTCAGTATTATTTATGATATTTGACTTAGAAATTGCTTCTCTTTTTCCTTGCGCTATTTCTTTATCTAAAATAAGCTATTGTGGATTTTGGTCTATGATGATATTTCTTGCAATACTTACTGTAGGTTTTATCCATGAGTGGTGTAAAGGTGCATTAGAATGGGGCTTATGCTCGTTTAGAACTTGCATTGTTAGTAGAGTTTCATGCTTTACTTGGCTCAACAAAATAGACATTCGTTCAACCTCTGCTACTGCACTGGCTGTAGTTATTACCATATTAGAGATTATTTTATTTATCTTTTCAATTAAACTTACTTTACACTTCGCAAAGTAATTCATTCGTTTTCCACATCAATTTTATTTTTTTTTTTTTTAGTAAATAATTTTCAATGTTCAATTTGCTCTGACTAAAACTACGATTGTCCGCTGAAGAAGAGAATGCTTGTTTCATAACTTTGTGTTTATATATCAAATCATTGGAGCTTTCCTTAAGCAGCAATAATGCTTCCCTATGTGTACTAGCATCGAGTGTTCCATATGACTCATCTGCAACGCCCTCAACTACTTCATGTAGAAAGATCACCTCCTCTTTCCATTCTTTTATTCTCACACAGAAACACTTGACACTTTTCAAGTATTTGCTTACTTTAGTATAATGAGTTGCAGAGATAGCGCGGCACTTATTTACATTGTGAATATGTTCAATTACCGCCTGAGCAATAGATAAGCCATCATACACTCCTGTTCCTCTACCAATTTCATCAAGTATTACCAAGGAACGGTCTGTTGCTTGGTTGACTATGGTTGCTGTTTCAATCATCTCCACCATGAAGGTGGAATAACCAGCCTTTATATTATCCGTTGCGCCAACCCTGCTGAATATCTTATCATTCACTCCAATATGTGCACTATCTGCTGGCACAAATGAATCCATATGAGCTAAAATTGCAATGAGAGCGTTTTGCCTCAAGAAAGTGCTTTTTTCAGCCATATTAGGGCCAGTAATTAGATGTATACCAGACAAATTGATGCTATTTGCAATGAACTTATCGTTAACTTCAACAACTGGGTGTCTTTCATTGCAAATATTGAATTCCTTCTACTGTTTCTGGTTTTATCGGCTCATTTAGTAAATCAACCTTTGCTAATCAGGTCTCTGTTGTCGCTGGAGAGGGAAGTGAGATGAAGATTGGCTATGACTACGATATAGCATGTAACTTCGGTGATTTAAAATCGCCAGAGTTAATAGGGGAGCGTCCAAAAAACTTAACTGTTGAACAATTTTGTCTACTAGCGAATAATATGTAAATTACTTAATTTGTTGATAAAAATATTAAAAAAGTATTTTCAGTTTGCTATACAATTCAAAGGTACACCATTTCACAATAAAATAGGGAATTTTGCCCAAAGATAGAAATAGGCAAGGGTTTCTGTTTTTTTTCTCTGGTTGCTATTTCTACGCTGTGATTCAATTTGGCAAAAAGATTACATGTATACCTTCCGCAAATGGCAGTTTGGGCTTTTCAAAAAGCCAAAATTCTATATAATTTTAGTTATAAGTTATGGCTTATAGAAGAGGCTACCACAGATCTATTGCATATGCACAATTTTCTAAAAAAATAGTAGTATTGCCTTTGCATAGTATAAAGTATTCCTATGTAAATTCTATGTTATCCATATAATAAAGTTGAAGCTATTGCTAACGCAACGTATTTAAAAATGTTATGAACTTCGTAAGAGAAAAAAATACTCCTTTGATGGAGCAATATTTGAACCTAAAAGCTCAATATCAGGATCATCTGTTATTTTATAGGCTGGGAGATTTTTATGAGTTGTTTTTTGATGATGCTATTAAAGCTGCGAAGTTGCTGAATATAGTACTAACTAAGAGAGGTAATTTGTATGGGCAAGAGGTACCAATGTGTGGAGTTCCAGCGCATAGTAGTGAATCTTATCTTCATAAGTTAATAGATTTAGGATTCAAAGTAGCAATCTGCGATCAGTTAGAAACTGCTGATGAAGCAAAAAGCAGGGGCTATAAATCTATAGTAAAACGTGATGTAGTGCAAATTGTAACTCCAGGAACAATTGTTGAAGATTCGCTATTAGAGGATAAAAACAGCAATGATCTTGCGTCCATAGTTAAACAAAATGGGGAGTATGCTATTGGCTGGCTTGAATTATCAACAGGATGCATGTTTTACACGAGGGTTTTTGTGCTTTGCAAACATATCTACCATGTAAAACTAGCCAGTGATGAGCATAGAGTAGGTATTTTTTTGGAACTACATTTAAAAGAGATTTCTCTGTTTTGAACACGTCTTTTTCTTTCACAAGGCCAATTTTATTGCTCACTCTAAAAACATGAGTATCAACTGCCAATGTTGGAATGCCAAGTCCCGAATTTAAAAATACATTAGCACTCTTTCTTCCAACTCCTGGCAAAGACACCAAGTCGTCAAAATTGGGAGACATAGCAATAAGAATAGTAAGAAGAGAACCGAGTGTTCAGGTTACAGTATGTGATATAAATCAAAACATGCTAAGTAGAGGACGTAATAAAGCCATAAACTCAAATCAGCTTAATTTTAATTGGGTGTGTGCAAACGCAGAAAGTTTGCCATTTGAAGACTCTGAGTTCGACTGTTGCACAATAGCTTTTGGTATTCGGATCCTCTCAGAGTCGTCACTAGAGACCGTCTTTCCAGCCCATCATTACGTGCATATTCAAAGCTACCCATAGTAACAGTCTTCTTATTTCTGCTCTTTCATTCACTAAATTTACTAGGTCACTACCCCCTCCCCTTCTCCCCCCCAAAACCAGGTGTCCCTCTCGCAACTGTCTTCACTGGTGCTATTGATATCTTCTTTATATATGTATTAAATATCTTCTTTATATCGGGCAAACAAATAGTAATGTGTGGATCAAAACAACCAGGTCTAAGCAGTGCATTACGAAACCTCCATAAATTTTAAATAGTGCGTAACTTTAATTTTAGTACTTAATAATCTCTCTATATTGCATTACAGTCAAGAAAAATAAACACTGAATACCTTTTCTACAGTCTTACAATTTAATTTTCTAATAAAATGCTAGATTTTCAGTAGAAAAATCCGGTAAAGGCACAATTTTTTATTGTGCTTTAAGTAAATATACTTTTAACATTATTATTAATCTGTTACGATATTAAACAGATATTTTCTAAAAAAAAAATGAACAAATACGAAATTTTACAAGTTTCTATAAAAAGTATTACATAGATTGAAGAATACTGAGAATACGCTATAAGTACTAGATCAGAGTCAACTAAACGTAGAAGATAAAGTTGAACAAATGGGTCTTCTAGAAGAAATTAGACATGAGACTATCTCCCACAATATAATAAAAGAATCATTAGCATAAACACGTACTCCTAGTAACAAAAAGAAAGGTGATAGTTGACAGCTAAAGTTAATAGAGAGGATGCATAAAAGCAACAGTGCTATTTCCATTGACCGTAAAATCCTTTGTCCAAAGTTAAAACTGAGTGCCAAAATTTACGGAGGCTATCTCAATCTGAACCCAGTAGCTTAGAAAAACTAAAAGAACTTTTTTTTTTTTTTTTTTTTTTTTTTTTGCTGACTTAGTCAAACTCATTCGTGCAGTAGTTTCTATAAAATCGCAGCAAAAGAAATATTTCCTAAGTTAGGCAAATTTTTCAGCGACAATATAGATAGAATAATTGAAAAACAGAAGAAAGACAAGGTTACTAATACACAGAAGATTACTACTCAAAGCAGATTGAACTTGGCTCATTATGCTTGCAGCAAATAGGTTTTACGTCACACCATGCATACTTCTTATCAGCACCTATATCTGATTTCTGTTATGGTTTAGTTTTACTTTTGGTTCGGTGGTCATCAAATTTATCAAAAATGTCTATAAGTAGCTCATTTACAAGGTACAATCATGTGTGAAACTCAACGGAAAGAATGATTGGAACATGCAGGAAATTTACTGAGTTTATTCAACCATACATAAAAGAGAAACTCATTGTAAAGGTCAAAGTTAATGCAAGGATCAACAGTGTTGAGAATCTGCACTTCATTTTCAATAAAGTGAATCTTCCCTCTCCTTTAGAGAAGGCAGATAAATTTAGTCCATTGATATTTAAAATTATTAAAACTTATTTTAATAATTACACTGGCCAAATGACCACAATGTATGCGACCAGTATCTATGCAATGCACACAAATTAATCAATTAAGTTCAGAATAACCATTTTTTTTTTTTTAATGAATTGATATTTATAAATATTTTAACATTTAATTAAAATAATTTCTGACAATACATGTATTCATTTCGCAAAATTGTACAAATTTCCTATATTTTGATACTTAAAATAGAAATAAAAATTAATTCTAACTGTAAGAATGAATTAAAGCCGTCATTAATTAAAAATTTAATTAATTTTGCTAATAAAAAATTGATTAAAGCTTAATTATTAAAGTTTGTTTTATTATTTATGTTGCCAATTGACCACACCATAAATGACCAGTACCCATGCAACGCTTATAAATTAATCAATTAAGCTCAAAATTTTCTTTACGAATTGATATTTTTTAATAGTTTTAACATTTTAATTAAATTGAAATTTGACAACACCGGCATTTATTTCATAGTTTAATATGCAAAAACTTTTACAAATTGCACAATTTTCTTAAATTATGGTATTTAAATTTGGAAAATAAATTAATTGCAATTGTAAGAATGAAATAAAACCGTGACAAACAAAGAATTTAATTAATTTTGCTAATAAAATATTGATTAAAAGTTATTTTTTAAAGTTTTTTTTAATATTTTATGCTGACCAATTGACCACACCGTGATTAACCAGTACCTATGCAACGCTTATAAATTAATCAATCAAGTTCAAATTATCTAATTTTTTTAATGATTTGATTTTTTTTTAATATTTTAACATTTAAATAAAATGAGTTTTTGATATTGCTAGAATTTATTTTATAGTTTAATATACAAAACTCTGACAAATTATTGAATTTTCATAAAATTTGATATTTAAATTTGAAATAAAAATTAATTTCAATTGTAAGAATGAATTAGAACAGTGGCAAATTAAAAATTTAATTAATTTTCCTCCTAAAATATCATTCAGAACTCAATTTCTAAACTTGATTTTATTATTTTTGCTGTTCAAATGATCACAATGTATGCGATCAGTACCTATGCAATGCACACAAATTAATCAATTAAGTTCGAAATATCCATTTTTTTTAATTAATTGATAATTTTCGATATTTTAACATTTAATTAAAATCAAAATTGATAAAACTAGAAGTTATTTCCACGTTTAATATACAATAACTCTTGCAAATTATAAAATTTTCACCAAAATTGATTTTTAGATTTGAAATAATGCTTAAGCCTAAGCCTAAGTACACCCTAAGCCTAAGCCTAAGCATTTTTTTATTATTTAAAATGTCAAATGACCGCGATGTATGTGACCAGTACTATTCAACGCTTATAAATTAATTAAGTTCAAAATATCTATTTTTTTAATGTTTTGATATTTCTTAATTTTTTAACATTTAATTAAGATTAAATTTGATAATAGTAGGGTTTATTTTCCAGTTTATTATGCAAAAATTCTTGCAAATTATAGGATTTTCTTAAAAATCAATTTTAAATTTAAATTAAAAATTAGCATTAATTGTAAAAATGAATTAGATCTATGACTAATTAAAAATTTTATTATTTTCGCGAGTGAAATTTTAATCAAAACTCAATTCTTAAAGTTTATATAATTATTTATGCTGATCAAATGACCACGATGTATGTGACCAGTACCTATGCAATGCACACAAATTAATCAATTAAGTTCAAAATATCCATTTTTTTTTTTAAGAATTGATATTTATAAATATTTTAACATTTAATTAAAATAATATCTGACAATACATGTATTCATTTCGCAAAATTGTACAAATTTCCTATATTTTGATACTTAAAATAGAAATAAAAATTAATTCTAACTGTAAGAATGAATTAAAGCCGTCATTAATTAAAAATTTAATTAATTTTGCTAATAAAAAATTGATTAAAGCTTAATTATTAAAGTTTATTTTATTATTTATGTTGCCAATTGACCACACCATAAATGACCAGTACCCATGCAACGCTTATAAATTAATCAATCAAGTTCAAATTATCTAATTTTTTTAATGATTTGATTTTTTTTTTAATATTTTAACATTTAAATAAAATGAGTTTTTGATATTGCTAGAATTTATTTTATAGTTTAATATACAAAACTCTGACAAATTATTGAATTTTCAAAAAATGTGATATTTAAATTTGAAATAAAAATTAATTTCAATTGTAAGAATTAATTAGAACAGTGGCAAATTAAAAGTTTAATTAATTTTGCTCCTAAAATATCATTTTGCTACTAATCAATTATGCTCAAAATAACCATTTTTTTTAATTAATTGATAATTTTCGATATTTTAACATTTATTTAAAACTAGCTTTTGATATTTACCACAATTTATTTTGTAGATTAATATGCAAAATTCTAATAAATAAATGAATTTTCATAAAATTTGACACTTAAATTTGAAATAAAAATTAACTTCAATTGTAAGAATGAATTAGAACAGTGGCAAATTAAAAGTTTAATCAATTTCGCTAGTCGAATATTGATTGAAACTTAATTTTTAAAGTTTATTTAGTTATTTATGCTGATCAAATGAGCAACCGTAAATGACCAGTACCTATGCAATGCATATAAATTGATCAATTAAGCTCGAAATATCTAACTTTTTTTAATTAATATATATTTTTTAACAGTTTTAACATTTAATTAAAGTAAAATTTGATATTACTAGGAATTATAGAAAAAAAGTTTGATATTTTTATTTTTGATATTTTTCTGATATAATTGATATTTTTAATTTTTAATTGATATTTTTTTTTTTTTTTTTTTTTTTTTTTAATTGATATTTTTAATAATAATTGATATTTTTTAAAAACAAACAAAAACTAATTTTAGCTGCGGAAATGAATTAAATCTACGACAAATTAAAAATCTTATTAATTTTGTTTCTCAAATATTAAAAAAAGCTTAGTTATTGAAGTATATTTTCTTATTTATGTTGTCAATTGACCACACCGTAACTGACCGTTACCCATGCAATGCATAAATTTAATCAATTCACTTCAAAATAACTAATTTTTTTTTAATGAATTGATATTTTTTAATAGTTTCAATAGTTTTAATTGATATTTTAACAATTGAGTTCAAAATAATAATTGATATTTTTAATAATAATTGATATTTTTTAAAAACAAACAAAAACTAATTTTAGCTGCAAAAATGAATTAAATCTACGACAAATTAAAAATCTTATTAATTTGACTTCTCAAATATTAAAAAAAAAAACTTAGTTATTAAAGTTTATTCTCTTATTACGTATGCAACGCATAAAATTAAATAACTGAGTTCAAAATAACTAATTTTTTTTTAACGAATTGATCAAAATAACTAATTTTAATAGTTTTAACATTTAATTAAAATCAAAATTGAAAAGAACTAGAGATTTTTTCTCCCTTTAATATACAAAAGCTCTTGCAAATTATAAAATTTTCACCAAAATCAATTTTTAGATTTGAAATAATGCTTAAGCCTAAGCCTAAATATACCCTAAGCCTAAGCCTAAGCCTAAGCATTTTTTTATTATTTAAGATGTCAAATGACCACAATGTATGTGACCAGTTCCCGCACTATGCGTATAAAATAATCAATTTTTTTTTTCATTAAATGATATTTTTTAATAGTTTTAACATCCTTTGAAATTAAATTTTGATAATAGTAGGACTTCGTATCTATTTTAGTATGAAAATACCCGTACAAATTATGGGATTTTTATAAATGTATTATTTAAATTTGAAATATAAATTAATTTTAATTGTAAGAATGAATTAAAACCGTGATAAATTAAAAATTTAATCAATTTCGCTAATCAAATATTGATAAAAACTTAATTTGCAAAGTTTATTTAATTATTTATGCTGATCAAATGACCACGATGTTGTAACCAGTATCTATGCAACGCTTATAAATTAATCAATTAAGTTCAAAATATCTATTTGTTTTAAGGAATTGAAATTTTTCAATATTTTATCATTTAATTAAAGTAAATTTTTGGTATTATTAGAATTTATGCTTTGAAATTAAATTTTGATAATAGTAGAACTTCTTAACTAGTTTTATATGCAAATACCCGTATAAATTATGGGATTTTTGTAAATGCATTATTTAAATTTGAAATATAAATTAATTTCAATTGTAGGAATGAATTAAAATCGTGAAAAATTAAAAATTTGATTAATTTTGCTAATAAAATATTGATTAAAACTTAATTTCTAAAGTTTATTTTATTATTATTGCTGGTCAAATGACCACGATTTGTGTTACCGGTACCTATGCAACGCATAAAATTCAATCAATTAATTCAATTCAACTTCTTATCAATAACTTTCTGTATAAATTAATTAAATTTAAATTATGAGAATTTTTTAGTTACACTTGACATACAATTAGTTTTTCCATTGAATCAATCACACAATGTATTTAATATTGCATTTTTTTTTTTTAATTTTATTATTTTTTGAAAAATAATTGCAACATTCTATCCTAATTTCCATTTCATAATTTGTATTTATACCAATTTAATTCTAATTTAATTAATGAAGTATTAGTATTCTTTGAATTATTTCCATAGTTTATTATTTTGTATTAATTTTTCTGTTTCTGTTTCTCTTTTTATTTGATATAGCAATATTAATAAATTTCACAAAATTTCAACTTAAAATATTGCAATTAAACTTTGTTAAGTCAAAAAAATAAATAAAGAATAGCTGAATAACATAAATCTTTCGAATTTTGGTTTTTTTTATTAAATGATTTTTTTTAATACTTTTAATATCATTTGAAATTAAATTTTGAGAATAGTAGGACTTCTTACCTAGTTTAGTATGCAAAACACCCGTACAAATTATGGGATTTTTATAAATGTATTATTTAAATTTGAAATATAAATTAATTTTAATCGTAAGAATGAATTAAAATCGTGAAAAATTAAAAATTTAATTAATTTTGCTAATA